AGGAAGGAAGGAAGGAAGGAAGGAAGGAAGGAAGGAAGGAAGGAAGGAAGGAAGGAAGGAAGGAAGGAAGAAAGGAGCTTTTTACCTGGAGCTCGATAGGAAAAAGGCGCTTCTCTTCCTCGCCCGTCCCCCAAATTTGCTCGCAGGAAAAGATCCGCGATCGCCAACGGACACGCCCGGAACGACCCCAGGAATGTTTGCAGAGCCCAAACTGGAAACGCTCATAGCTCCTCCTCCCCTTTCCCATCCAGCTCCTCCAATTCTCTAAAGGGCGGAGAACGCCCCCCACTCGGGAGACCCCTGCCTGCCCCCTTCCTTCTGCCACGTGGGAATCGGTCCACGGTGGGGCTGGGCAACGAGTTTCGGGCTGCTTCGCTCTAGGCAGTGCGAGAAGCAAGGGAGAGAGGGAGGGGACGAAGACCAGGGATGGAGGAGGTAAGGGGACGGGGAGCAGCAAAGTTAGGTGGGAATCGCCCTTTTGGAAGAAAACTGGAGTAGGCAGGAAAAGGAGGCTGCCTTATTCACTGATCCTAACAGGGCAGTCCTCACCTGACAACACATCTCCTACAATGACCAACATTCATGTTTGTGCCATAACAACAAATAGTGGCTGCTTTATAAGTAGTCCTCAACTTAACGACCATTCGTTTAGGGGCTCTTCAAAGCTGCAGTGGCCCTGGAAAAAGTGACTTATGTCCATTGCTCACACTAAAAGGGTGGGTAATTTTTGGTGGGTGGGGGTGTTATTTGGGGGTTGTCATGTGGTTTCTGGGTGTTAATGTGAATTTTGTTGTCTGGGTATATTGTGTATATAGGTACAATGACAATGTAAATAAATAAATAAATAAATAACGACATAGAATCCCCATGGTCATGCGATCCAAATTCAGCCGCTTGACCACGGATTCATATTTACGACAGTTGCCGTGTCTCAGGGTCAGGTGAGGCTTTGGACAAGCAAAGTCAATGGGGAAGGCAGATATTTTTAACAACCGTGTTGCTAATGTTAACAACTGGGGTGATTCATGTAACAACTACGGCAAGAAATATTGTAAAATGGGACATTGACTTATGTTTCTCATTTAACCACGGAAATTTTGAGCTGAACATGGGTTGTAAGTCGAGGACAACCTGTGTTTGAAGTGTTGATGGATTGTGTCTGAGAGCAATAGGACTTTGAGATGCAGACAGACATCATTCAGTCCAAAATGTCTTCCCCAAGAGGAGAATAAAGATACGGGGGGGGGGGGGAGATAACAAAAACAGCTTTCTTTTGATATTATCCCCAATTAGTTGCCAAGTTGTGTCTGACCCATCGCAACCCCATGGACAACGTTCCTCCAGGCCTTCCTGTCCTCTACCATCCACTGGAATCCATTTAAGATCATGCCTACTGCTTCGGTGACTCCATCCAACCACCTCATCTNTTTAATTATGGTCATAACTCAAACGCCATATGTTTTTTCTAAAGCTGGTTTCCTAAATTGTTCAATTTACCGACCAAAAAGTGTCTATATCTGAGCTGGGTATGCTAAGCCTTTAACTACTTTGTAAGCTAGGGCATTAATAAAAATCAAGCACAATCAATATCATATCTCAGACTACAAATCAGTTAAACACAAACAATGTTAGGTGGTGCAAACACAACACCATCCCTCCAGTTATTACTTTTGACAAAACTCTGGAGTCTCGTGTTGGTTCTTTAGTTCATTCTCTTCCATCACTTTCTCCATTCATTTCTACAGATTCTACTGGCATAATTCTGTGAACATGAAACAAACTTTGAGAATCAATACGAACCAATTAGTGTTGACTTTTCATGTTGTGCGTTTTCTTATGGTGACTAAAGTCATTCCAGGTTCTGGATTTCTTTCCACACTCCACACACTCATACGGCTTCTCCCCTGTATGAATTCTTCTATGGACCGTAAGATTCCAGCAATCTCTGAAACTCTTTCCACAGTCGATGCATTTAAATGGCTTCTCTCCTTTGTGGATCCTCATGTGGGAGGTAAGCTTGCCACTGTCACTGTAACATTTTCCACACTCCAGGCATTTATAGGGTTTCTCCCCTGAGTGAAGTCTTCTATGGATCCTGAGTGAATGATTTCGACTAAAGCTTTTTCCGCACTCATGACATGTATACGGTTTCTCTCCAGTGTGGATCCTCTTATGGATACAAAGGTAACCACTTTTTCTAAAACTCATCCCACACTCCGTGCACTTATAGGGTTTCTCCCCTGTGTGAATCCTTTTATGGCTCGTCAGTTCTCCAGAATCACGGAAACATTTTCCACACTCTTGGCACTGATATGGTTTTTCCCCAGTGTGGATCCTGCTATGTAGGATATGCTCATTTTTTGTAATGAAGCACTTTCCACATATGCGGCATTCATATGGTTTCTCCCCAGTGTGCAGCCTTTTGTGAATAGAGAGAGTCCCCAGTCGAGTGAAGCATTTGCCACATTCAGTGCACTTATAAGGCTTTTCACCTGTGTGGATCCTTTTATGGTTATTAAGGTGACTTTTATAACTGAAGCAATTCCCACACTCGGTGCATTGATACGGTTTCTCTCCACTGTGGATTCTCCTATGGGACGTTAACTGGCTGGAATCACCGAAATTCTTTCCACACTCCAGGCATTTGTATGGTTTCTCCCCAGTGTGCAGCCTTTTGTGAATAGAGAGAGTCCCCAGTCGAGTGAAGCATTTGCCACATTCAGTGCACTTATAAGGCTTTTCACCTGTGTGGATCCTTTTATGGTTATTAAGGTGACTTTTATAACTGAAGCAATTCCCACACTCGGTGCATTGATACGGTTTCTCTCCACTGTGGATTCTCCTATGGGACGTTAACTGGCTGGAATCACCGAAATTCTTTCCACACTCCAGGCATTTGTATGGTTTCTCCCCTGTGTGGGTCCGTTGGTGGGCATAAAAGTTCCTAGAATTGGCAAAGCACTTTCCACACTGCAGGCATTGAAAGGGCTTCTCCCCCGTGTGGATTCTGTGATGGACAGTAAGGTTTGCAGAGCAATGGAAGCTCTTTCCACATTCAATGCATTGAAATGGTTTTTCCCCCGTGTGAATCATCTCGTGTGACTTAAGATGAACTTTTTGCCTGAAACTATTTCCACAGTGCAGGCATTTATAAGGTTTCTCCCCTTTATGCATCCTATTATGTTTAGTTAGCGTATCAAGTCTATTGAAGCTT